ACTCCTACTATATAACCCATAGTTGGGGGTTGGAGATAGATTTATTCCTTTCCCAACTGTATTTGTGCACCAGTGAATATAATGAAACCAACTGGAATTTGAACTCTGATCTCTGGTTTCTCATCCTGAGCCACTATCCATTACACTGCCCACACATTCATGTTTCAAACAATATAGAACAGAAGTAATTATTTTGTTACTTTAAGAAGCTATTTTGTTTTGGGTGAAATTGAGTTAACTTGCTAGTCCTTATTTAAGCATAGATGTTCTTCAGAATCATTATATACAAGTGTAACTGACTTTTCTGGATCATTAGCAAATACATTTCTCACTGAGATAATCAATCATGCATTAAATCCCTTGCAGTACAATTTACATTTTTTTATTGCTGACATTTTTATTTAATTTTTATTTTTTTGCCTGATTGAAGATTTTGATGCTATTGAGATCTGTCAGTATTATAGTATGTACAACACAAATGCTATCACTAATCAGCTATTAACAAAGTTTTGTTCTTTTAGTTTTTTCTTCTTGGGATCTAATTAAGCCTTAAAAACATTTCCATAGTAATATACACACAATATATAGATTTCAAAAAATGATTCATGGAAAAACATAGTTATGAGATAAAAAAGAAATATATTTTAGTTTCCAATGTACATCCAATTTGTGTCTATATTATTATTACACTTGTATAATTATAGAAAAACTTATATTCTTTTGTATAAAACAAAAATGTTAAATATTTTTTTATTTATTTGGTTGAGTCATAAGTAATTTCCATTTCCAAAACAAAACTGCTTTCATTTAATCACCATAAACAAACTTTTCTGCCTGCCATCAGCATGGCTGATGCTAATCTCCAGGAGAGAAATACTCTACACCTTCTTGGCCTCACATTTTCCACTTGTTGGGGAGTCGTGATATGTTGTTGGTGTACAATCTAATTTAGGTAGCTGTGATTACAAGTTATTCTGGGTACTGTCTGGAATAAGATAATCTTGAAACTATGTACTTTGAAAAAAAAACGTAATACAGTAATGGTTATACAATGCATTAACATTAAACAAGTGAATTTCTGAATGAAACTAAAGACGGATTTTTGAATAAACAAGTAACTGTTTATTTGATGTTTTCTACATTATGTGGTGTATTTAATAAAACCCTTGAGAAGAATAGAAAAGTTCTCTTACACACATTGAGGTGCGTTTAATAAAACCCTTGAAAAGAAGGCAAAAGTAGATCTTTTGTTACAGAATTTACATTGGCAAAGCAGGAATTGTTGATTAGTGATCGATATATGAGTTAACGACACAGAATCCCCTTCTCAGGTGCTGGCTCAAAAATAAAACTCTTCAAATATATGAGAAAAGCACTGTCCTGTCAGTTGTTGAATAATAATATGGATTTTATTTTTGAATATTTTAAGACACTACCAGAAGTGCCACTCGGAGCCATGCGTAAATGTCTGATTTTGGTCATTCGACTCCTGACTTTGAGATGGCAACTTCTGGTTGACCTGACATACTGACAGGGAGTGGAGTGACTATATTGAATCAATTGCTACATCTACTGCAAATAAAATTGGCTCACTGTGATTTGCCAGAAAATTTTTCTTGTCAGAATCCATCTTGCACATACCATTCATCCATGCATTGAATACTGTTGCTATATCTGTTCTGGTGCTCTTGTTGTACATCTTGAGATTATTGATAAAATCCAAAGAAGGGTCTATAATGTAATTGAACTTGACCAGATATCTCAATTTCAGTCACTTTCTCACTGATATTACATGACTTCTCTCTCTTTTCTACAAATATTTTCATGGCAACTGCTCTGATGAGCTTTTATTTCCTGGTACCCTGACTGCATGAATTTAAGTGTACTCATAGATTGGCAAGAAGGTCTCACCATTTTACTATTGAACTAACTAGATGCAACCATCACTTTTAATTTAATAATTTTTTTCTCGCACTTTCCACCTGAGGAACTTCTGATTTCTTGTTTCCTGATAACTACAATCCTCAAAAATTGAAATGCAATATCAAACGCTGTCTTCTGTCTTTGAGAATTCTTTTTTATCTTTTTCCTCTATTCTCAGTTTTCTCATTCTCTTTCACTCCCTGTAACTCCACGTTTTAGTGGCACCAGGGCTTTGCTTGAGTCAAGTGATTTTATATATATATATATATATATATATATTGTCTACAATCACAATACATTTGTTGCTTACATGTTTTCCGTAATTGTCAATGATGACCTGTTTAAATTCTGGTTTATCATGTCCACCCTCTGAGCTTAATTTTCTATTTAGCATAGATCTGACATTTAATTGGTTGATCAAGACAAACTCACAAGTCGATTTTTAATTCTGACCATGTGTTTTCTTATCCCTCTCCTCTTTATCTTTCAGAAAAGAGGTAACATTTTGCTTTTGAAATTTTTAAAAAACTTATTTAATCACCAGTCACTTGTAATTCGTTTGACATGGTACAATATAGTGCTGAAACACAAAAGCTATTGTGCAGTGATTTCAACATGTTTTTGTTCTATTATCTAGAATAAAATAATAATAATAATAACTATATATTGCTCTACTTAAAATTTCCTATACTATGTATTGTGCACTTTTCAAAAGTAAATGCTAAGAATGACTGTTATTTCTCTCATTTATATATATATATATATATAACTTTCCCTGACGATCCATTTAGGTGAAGCCTAGGTAGGTTTGTCTGGCTCACTAGGTGTATCTATATATATATATATATATATATATATATATATATATATATATATATATATATATATATATATGGTTTCTAGCATTTTTAACCAAGATTTGAACAATGTTGGTTAAAAATCTTATTTTTCTTGTGGCAGTAGGGTGGGATAAGTATAGGAAATTTTAGCATCTTTTTGGGCTAAAAACACATTGATTTGGAGATTGTTGCAAAAGTCAAATAATTGTCAGATTTTAATTGAATTTTTTAAGACTTTTTCACAATTGAATGATATTATTTTAGAAGTTTTTTTCTTTTTTTAATTTTTTTTTTTTTTTTTAAAGTAAATTTTGATAAAAAATACATCTGTTACTCCCCACTTAACTTTTTGAAAAATTTCGTCCCCCTCATATTTATATTAGTTAAAAGCAGGACTCCTTAGAGAATTAAAATCAAATTTTTTTTTTTTTTTTAGCACCATTTGTTGAAAATCTGCACTGAATCTTACTTATTATAAAACGCAGATTGTGTGTGTGTGTCTGTATGTTTATATATTGGATCAGATTTCCTACATTTTTCAACTGATTTCAACAAAACTTCACAGGATACCAAAATTTGGAAAAACACAATTGTTTTTGCAATGAAAAACAATTTGTTTTGCATGATAAAATTTGATTCTGTCGCCAGAATGAAATGGGGACAACTCATATCAAGTTATACTTATTATAAAACCCAGGTTGTTTGTGTGTGTTCGTTTATATATGGGATCGGATTTCCTACATTTTTTCAACCCCGATTTCAACAAAACTTCACTTTTTTTTTTTTGGCAGGTAGTGTTTCTTATTGTCTTGCACACTTTTTTTCTTTATTTTTACATTCAGGATGCTTTAAAAATTCCATTTACAAGACAATTGTTTATAATAAAATTCTATTCAATCGGTAGATCCATAACGATTGAAAACAATGTTTCATGTTTGAGTTTGGGTTTGACCAATTCGTAAAAAAAACCCCCAAAAAACAAACAACAAAAAAAAAAAAAAACTAATTAAGACATGCGTGTTCATCAACCTTAAACAATAATCTTTGTCAATTTTATTTTTCAGACTTTATGATGGTTGATACTTGATCTATCTCTTACTGTTACATCCCCGGGCTCTATTGCTAGTCATAAAATATGTGATAAAATTAAAACATTATTTAATTAAAATAGCTTTTAATTCCTGTCATAAATATTGTGTGTGTGTATATATATATATATATATATATATATATATATATATATATATATTTTTAAATCTTTTAAAATTGTGCATAAATTTCCATCTTTTATTTGATATTATTAGCTAAACACTATATTTTCTAATCATAAATAAAAAGACCTAGTGCAAGTCATAAAACACCAATAGTTTAAAAATAATTTTGAATTTTTAGATGTTCATACCCAACATTATCAGAAAATAAGATCTGTAAATTTAAAGACAAAATATCTAAAATTCAATAAAACATTAGATTATGGAGGATATTTTCAAAAATTTTTAAGATTACTGAGTAGTTAAAAATGATATATAAAAGGTGCTCATGTTATATTCAATTATTTTATTTTTTATAGATAATGCCCCACTCTCCTGTAGAACAGCACTAAATAAACATCAACCTGTCAACACATCTACAAATTAAATAAACAACTACTGACATGTTAAAAAAATGCATTTCTGAGATATTTTAAACTTAAAATAAAAATATTTGTTTTAAATCAGCTAATATTCCTCAAAGTTTCAGAAAAATATATTCTATCTTGGGAAAAATTTTTAATAAAGAAAATTATATTTCAATAAACACAATGGTGCTAAAATCTGATTTTTTTAGCAAAAAAAACTCCTTCCAGTCAATTTAAATTAGTTTTGAAATGGAGCAGAGTATTTTGCTTATTGAAATTATATTTAATCTATTATCTTGAAATTAAAACTAAAATAAAAACTTGAAGAACGATTATTCATTTTAAAAAAATTCATTTTAAACCTGAGGTATTGCAAATCTGTGGAGGTACCTATATTATGTAATGTCTGTAAATCTAATATAATTTACTAAATCATCTCTCTTGATATATATATATATATATATATATATATATATATATATATATGTGTGTGTAAATAAATATAATTCCCTAAATCATAAGCAATATTTATTAGTTTTTTGGCTTACATTCTTACTTTTTTTCCCCCTTGATTGTCAATTGGGCAGCAGGAATATCTAGATGGTATAACTTGCATTTAGTAAACATAGTTCTTTTTTCTCTTTTTATTTTTATGTTATTCAACATTTTCTTTCTATATTCTCTTTCTTCTTTGTTGTATTTCATATTTTTCTTTTCCTGTCAATATTTTATTTCTTTCTCTCAATCATGTCAATTCAATCTGTCTTTCCCTCACTCTCTATTTCTGTTTTCCTCTCTCTAACACTATTTGTATTCTGGTATTCTGTACGGATTTTTTTTCATTCTATGTACCTCTATTTTTTCTTTTCTTTCCTTTTCTTCTTCTCTTCATAGATTTTCACTTTAAAGGGAAAAACACTTTAATTCATGGTATTAAAAAAATGAATAATGTTTGTAAGATTTTTACAACAGCTTTACTTTCTCTTTTCTCATGATCAATAATACAGAACTTGCCATACAGAAAGAATTGTAACTGGTCTTGGGATTTGTATTGACTTTATGTTGAATTTGGAACAAGTATCTAATGAGCGGCCCTATTTCATGTGTTGTGGTAGTTCTTGTGCATAAATGCTTGACTGAAATTCTTTGGATTTCTATTGATTTATTTGAGGAATCTCAATTGGGATGTGAGGATTCAGAAAGATTGTGAAATTGGAGTGTTTATTTTTCTTGCTAATGGATAAATCTCTTACAGAAATGAATTAGGAAACACAGTTTATTCAGTATTTTCATGTACGAGTTTCTGTTTCACTGTCTGTCTGTCCCTGTGTTTGTCTTTCTGACTATTTTTATCTCCACCCTCTGTCTCCTTGCCTCCCTCCTCCCTCCCTCCCTGATCACCCTGTCTCCTTGCCTCCCCTCCCTCCCCTCCCGATCACCCTGTCTCCTTGCCTCCCTCACTCCCTCCCGATCACCCTGTCTCCTTGCCTCCCTCACTCCCTCCCGATCACCCTGTCTCCTTGCCTCCCTCACTCCCTCCCGATCACCCTGTCTCCTTGCCTCCCCTCCCTCAGATCACCCTGTCTCCTTGGCTCCCCACTCCTCCCGATCACCCTGTCTCCTTGGCTCCCTCCCTCACTCCCTCCCGATCACCCTGTCTGTCTCCTTGCCTCCCTCACCTCCCGATATACCCTGTCTCCTTGCCTCCCTCCCTCCCCCCTCCCGATCACCCTGTCTGTCTCCTTGCCTCCCTCCCTCCCTCCCGATCACCCTGTCTCCTTTGCCTCCCTCTGTCTGTCTCCCTCCCATCACCCTGTCTCCCTTGTCTGTCTCCTTGCCTCCCTCACTTCCTTCCGTCTCTGTCTGTCTCCCTCATTCTGTGTCTCTCCCTATCCCTCTCAAGGAGTGCTTAAAATTTTTCTGCTTAACAAATAAATATCAGATTTTGCTAGGGAAGGGCTTGTTGATCTGGCTGAAATTTTTTTTTAAAACATCTATGTAAATGTGTATGTGTTTTTGATTCTTTTTTTTCATTTAGACTTTTTGTTTTTTTTAACTTTTTATTTTATTTCTTTTATAAATTTATTTTTATTTAAGAGTTAATATCTTAAAGGAACTCATTTGAATTATTCAAATGAGTGAATTAGCTAAGTGCCTGTTTTGAAACATGCTCTTTCAGTTGCTCTAATTGTATTTTGTGGTAATTTTTTGTAAATTGGAGACAGACACACGAAAAGAAAACTCTATTCTAGATTGGCATCATAAAAAGAAAACGTCCAAGCATGAAAATCAATAAATTTATTTGTGGCATTAAAGACTGGAGTATTTGTGCAGGTTTCTGTGAAAGAATGGACCAAGAGAAAAAAAACAAACAAAAACCATTGATATGTTGATAGTCCTTGTAAATTGTTGGATAATCCTAATAACTTGTTATCATAAAATATTTCTCTATAGAAGTGAAATTCATGAAATAATTTTATGCACAGAATTTTTCTCTATAGATACATAATAATGCATTTGTTATATTCAGTTTTTGGGCAATTTGTAGCAAATGCCAGCTTCTTTACCTAGCATACTGTAAGAATATAATGATAAAGAATAATGATGATGATGATGATGATAATGATAATAATAATAATAATAATAATAAAAAAGACTTTGGATATTAGAAAAATCTTTGATTTGTGATTAAAGAATAAGAAAAAAATCTGATTCAAAAAAAAATAATTAATACTACATTGCCAGTCCCCGGCCTTTTTGTGTCAGGGATTGGTGTCATGAAAGAGAATTTTTCGAAGTAGGTGGGGTGGGTCGATATTGGTCATGTGCATAACAATAAACAATAAACAAGACTATGTTAATCAATGAAATGGAAAAACAAAATTTTAAGTATTTTCTGTGCACTCTGGTGCCAAATGATCCACGCTAGAGTGCTGGTCTGTGGTGTGGGTGGTTGGGGGACTGCTGTCCTGCATGACCAATATATTGCAATTGATATGTAATCAAATTATAATCCATGACAGATTTTAGATTGCTAATTTTTTTTTGTTTTTTTTATATATAATAAAGTTCCCTCAATACAAGGTTTGAGAAGCACTCAAGGTAGAGGGTTACTGAATGAGATTTGTGATATGAATATAAGAGGCAGTGATAGGAGGTGAATATTATGAAGATAAAGAGGATAGATGATAATTGACCTTGACAATTCTAGTGTTCAGTGAAGCTTCCACAAAGGAGTCTGTTCTACAAAGTAGCATTTTTTGGAAAAAGAATTATCTGAGTGGAACTTTCTCTTTGCAATTAGAATATGGGGATGAGTGATTTCACTCTGGAGTTTCAATATCATTTGAAACAAGGCTAGCTTGATTTGACTTGATTCAACTTTGTATTTAATAAGGGAATGTGGGAGGTTCAATTTAATTATCATCCACATCCCCATAACTGGGGGTGGTTGTAGGGTTTGTGTACAGCTGAGCAACTGTTAACTTTCCTACACATATCTGGGTTGAAAGTTATGGAGGTATTCATTCATGTATAATGTGTCTTAAATGTAGCAGAAATAATCCCACTCCTGGTCAAATCCCAGCCAGTCATCCAATCTGAAGGCATACCTTGGTCACAGACGTATGGCTATTCATTCCATTGGGGTATTCTCTGCCCTGAGAGTTGATTTCAGTCTCTGAAGGCCTCTGCCTAGCAATGTTGTGTTAATGTTCATTTTAATTGCCTAATTTTTGCTTTAATCCTGATTTGATATTTGCATAAACAGTTGTCATTTTTTTTTTGTATTAATAATCTGTTTATAATCTGTTTCGATTTAATGTGTTTTTAAGCACAAGATAAATTTTATAGAAGAGGAAAAGCAAAAATGTTCCAACAATTGTTATGAAACAAACAACTGGGATTATTTAAAAAAAATGAACTGGTATGTAGCAAAATATATATATATATATATATATATATATATATATAAGTGTCAATAAATGGAAAATCATGAAATACAAGTTGCAAAAGAATTAACAAACACAGTGCATATGAGCAACAAAGGCAAGATTTCTTTCAAATTCCAACCACCTGCCTTTCAAAAGGCAAGTGTGTATATCCACTCAAAGTGCTCATCAATGGTTAAATAAAAATTTTACATAAGCTGCTGAGTTCTCTGAAAGAGAACTTGTAATAATGTCAGAGTTTTTCAACCATTTTCAGCAGAGAATACATATGGATATTTGATTGGCAAGGTAAACTACTGTTCTTTCTAAATGAGTTTAATGAACAGATCGTATTTTCTTGAGATTGAAAGGGTTATAGTATCTTTTGTACAGTCAGTTCAATAAGGAGATTTGTATTTTAAAGAATTTTTAATGTTTGCTCATTCACTGTAAACAATTTGTTTCCCTCTGTTTCAAAAACACATTGCATTTCAAGAGAGAAAAATAAAGGCTTTAGATGAAGTTTTTTTTTTTTTTTTTGTTCAACAATTATATACAAATAAATCATGATAAAACATAATTTTGGATTGATTTTAGTCACATTTTTCTCTTCATTCAGTTTATCATAATTTGAATCAAAATCTGGCAAGTTGATTTGCAAATTGATTAGTACTTAATTTTGTATTTTGGAGCATTTTTATTGCTATGATTATTTTATTTTTGAAAAATTAGCTGTAAATGTAAAAGCATAAAGTAGAGAACCACAGGGAGAATGCACAGTTGATGGCCCAGCCATACAAATAAAAAAAGAAATCACTGGTGGCTGGTTAAACAAAATAACGTGGATATTTTTTACTATCATTGAATATAGCAGCCTATTTGAAATTCAAGATGTATATGGCAACAATCTAGGAAGCATAATTAAATCTCTCTCTCTCTCTTTTGTTTGAAACCTGTGGAGCTGTTGTTTTAGTAGCAAGTAGGTTTTATGGGATGGAGTTGCTAGTTTCCTGTCCAAATGCTTTGAAATTATTGTTATCCTTCTCCTAGGCTGATTGCCACTTAAATCTAGAGAGCCCTGTCTTGTTATTTTATGTGTATGTTACGTGTGTGTTATGGGAAAACAGATATAAAATTTTTTTTATGGGCATTAGTATAAAATAAGCATATAAATTCCAACTGAAAACAGCACTGACTGAATGCTGAATGTTTCCTTATCAGGAAATTGCTAATATTACTATTGCCATAAAAAAGAAAAGAGGGTTTGGGGAATTTAACATGTACAGGACATTGTGATAACAAGAGGGCAGAGGGAAACATCAAGTAACTTAGCTGGCAAGTTTGTATGAATGGATAGCAGAGCAAAAAAAAAGTCATTGCTTAGAGCTACAAGAGAGAACAAGCTGTGGAGAGCCATAATTACCCATGTACTGAAGAGACATGGGATATAAAAGAATGTTTTCTGACCACTAATTGATTGTGGGGAAACTCAACTGCCATACATCTGTTTTCTCTTCATGAAGTGCATGCCAATGAAAATGAAATTTGTAGCCTTTCAGTTTTATGTATGAAAATGAAAACCTTAGAATTATTGGACTTATTGCCCTTTTCCTCAACAATCTTACATTTCAAACAATTTTAAAACATGAAATGATAAAAGCAATTATAGAAAAAAATTAATAAAATGAAATTAACCATATTTTGTTTGCTAATCAAATATTGATTATCTACAAATATTTTTCCATGTTTTTACTTTCATCCATTCAGTTTTAAAATTGTTTGCATATATGTTTATCTATCTCTCTCATATATAATACACACATGCATACATAAGCACACATTAATCCCTTGATTAATGTCATTGTGATTAGTGTGCTAAAATTTTTATATACCAAAAGTAGATTAGTGCATGCATAATACTCAATTATTGTGGTAAAACATTATTCAGTTTAACCATAGTAATTT